TGTTTTAGAGAAACAATATAAAAGATCAATAGGAGGATTCATTGGATGCCTGTATGGAACAAAGTACACCTGACATCTCTTCATGTTCACAGTGAAAGTGAATGCACAGCTACATGTCTGCTAAAGAACACTTGGGATGTTTCATTATGTACATTATGTGGCTTTTGTCAACATGAGCAAGAGTCTGATCTTCATTTATTTAGATTTTCAGTGTATTAGGATTATTTTGAAGCTAAAAGCAAATAAACTGAATTCTGGCTACAACTCCAATGTTTCCCCTCTGACAATAATGTGGAACTTTATCATAGTCTGGAAATTTGAGGAAATGTTCTAAGACTGGACCTCTTAAATTTTAAAATTGATTAAAAAAAAAAAAAGGCTTTACAATGAGAGATGTAGAGATGGTCTGAAGTGTGTTTGTATAGGATACGTGGACTGTTTCTAAATAGGCTATGTTGCATTTATTAATTCTGGAATATTTTGAAAGAACTCTACATGAAAGAGGAAGTCCACAGAGTGGAATTTCCTGATTGTATTAGAAGTTCTCATTGTTTTTCTATCCAGTGCTTTAATTGGAGAGGTTCCTTATAATCTGAAGTGGGTGGAGTCAGGCCTGCAGGTGTGTTCAGACTCTCAGGTTGTCTTTCTGACAGATGAAGCGTTCTTTGATGGAGCAGTGCTGGTCGTTCAGGCGTCCATCATTGTGAAGGTGAGCACAGTCTTCATTCCCAGGTCCTTGACCATGATGGGCCCAGTTGTCGGGCTGCCCAGGTTTCCACCGCCTTGAAAAACATGCACAAAGATGTTTATGTGTAATTCCTGTGGAGCACTGACTGATAATAATTCCTCTTTATGCTGAAAGCTCCCTGCTCCCATGACACTCACAATCTCTGATCTACTGGTTTCCGTTTCTGGACAAACGTTTTAGACTTTGATTTAGGATATGAAACCTCTTGGTTATATGTAGGCATTTAAAACTTTATATTAGGTTTAGGCAATAAAAACAAATTTTGAAAAAACCAAAGTCATTGTGTAACTAGTGCACGTTTGCTTTGGGACAAGAGCATACTGAAACAAACCTGGGCTCCGCTCATCCACCCACTCCCAATCCTCAAACACTTGTGCAATCGTGCATTTAGGTACAGTTATCCCCAAACACACAGAAAAGTATGATCAGTATAATGTAAATATAATCATTAGTGGTGTACCCCTGAGATTATAATAATGTAGATGTGACATGAAGCGCCTGAGGTTTTCTGGGACTTCAGTTCAGTAACAAAATGAAGAGGCTGTTTTTTCCTGCCTGGAGGTCTGGACTATGAAGGTCCTAATAATAATCGCTATATACCACAGGCTGGCTGTAGTTAAAGCTTTACTTAAAACGCCACCTCTAGACCCAGCTGTCTTAGCTAATTATAGGCCAATCTCCAACCTTCCTCTACTCTTCCTTGAAAGAGTAGTTGTCAAACAGCTAACAGATCATCTGCTCATTTGAGGAGTTGCAGTCAGTCCTGCAAAAAGACTTTCAGATGTCAGCAGCGAGAACAGCTGACGAGGAAGGGTTAGTCCTGAAGATGCCGCTTAATGCTGATGTCTGATGATTTTCCATGATTATGGCTCTCTGCACTTTTCCTTTTGTCCTTTGCGTACTATGTGTGACATACTCTTTGTAGGTGCCTTTAAAAAGACCGTGTGAGGTCCTCATAAACATAAATCAGGACATCCTCTCCACTTCATACTGTTTGATAGTTAGTGGAAAAAAGCACGTCTTTGTTTCCTTAAGCTCATATTGATTTTTTGAGCAGCCTCTGCAAACACTTGGTGATGATGGGAATGAATACTGCCAGTCTGTTCTATTTAGGCAGTGGTGAGTCTATGTAAAATATCTATTAAATCTATTCATACTACAATTAGTATTCTTTAAAAATCATTGTCCCGCAATGAATGTTGTCACAATCAGGGGTACCGGGAGACTACGTCCTCATTCCAGGTGTCTGCTGTCAATTCCCCGTCAATCAGCTGTTGATGATGTCAGCCTGTAACCTCTGCTTCAGATCGCTCTCCTAAACGCTCGCTCCATAGCCAACAAATCATTTGCACTGAATGACTTTTTTAGCAGTATTAGTATGGACTTCCTGTTTCTCACAGAATCTTGGCAGCAGGAGAATGAATGTATCCACCTGAATGAGCTCTGCCTGGTCGGCTGTCGCTTCATCTGGACTCCGCATTTGGACGTGGTGGTGGTCTGGTCACTGTTCACCGAGACAATTTCGCTTGCAGGGCTATGGGCTCTGAGTTTTTCCCTTCCTTTGAGTCACAACTCCTAAGGTTGGTACAACAGATATATTTAATTGTGTTTTAATTTACCGCCCTCCCGGCCCCGCTGGTGTTTTTATTCAAGATTTTACCGACTTTTTATCTTCCATTATTAAACTGGAGATGGCCTTAATGATTGGGGATTAAACCTGCACGTGGATGATCTTAGCTGTAGCATGGCCTCTCACTTTCTATCCATTACAGACTCTTTTAATTTTATTCAGCATGTCTCTGGACCCACCCATGTTAAAGGCCACACCTTGGACCTTGTGTTTTCTCTTGGCTTAGACATAACTGTGTTAAGGACGTACAAGTGAGTGACCATTCCTGTGTTACTTTTAGTCTTAGCTTCCCTCTGTACACACCACCTTCTAATTTACCCTCATGTGATCAGTGGCTGCACTGATGCTGATGTTGCTACACAGTGTTTTAAGAATCACTGCTTGGAGAGTTTAAATTCGATGGCACCTATGAAATCTGTCTTTGCTGCCTCAAAAAGAGCTCATCCGTGGATAAATGATGATGTAAGGAAGGTCAAAAGAATCTGTAGGAAAGTAGAACGCCTTTGGAAATCAACTAAACTCGAAGTTCACAGGCTCCACCTTAGGAAACTTTGGGTTTCCATACATGAAACCATAAAAACAGCCAGATCAGGATAGTTTTCTCATCTAATCAAGCAAGAGAAATTCCAAATACTGTTTGACTCCATAAACTCTATTGTTTCCCCCGTGGTCCACCAAGTACCTGTGACCTCTGTATCTGAGAGTGATGACTTTTTGACACAGGGTAAGCCGTTAATGTAAATAGAAAATGTTGTTGATGCCGTCCTGATATTATTGATTCATGACATTTCATGTTTTTAGAAATTTATTTTATTTCTAAAACTGTTTAGAATAACAAGAATAACTATTAGAAATATGCCCAATTTTTAAAAAACAAACAACAACAACAACAACAACATGAGCACTGGTCAGAAGAAAGCAAAAAAGGTATACTGGGGACAAACCGAGCCAATTCCGCGATGCCTGGTCCTCAAGGAAAATGTATCAATATCTTTTTTGTGACATTTGTTTGGTGGTGCGCTGTGAGTTTTATAATGTGAAATCTGTGCCATGGCTCCAAAAGGTTAGAGAACACTGCCTTATGGAGCACTAAAAGTTCTCTTAGAACTTAGAACAAAAAACACAACGCCTCATTTTCTCGCATGTACATTAGCGTTTTTTGGGGTTTTTTTTTAAGTGTAACAGCTTACCTCCGGTTCATGATGTAGGGTGTCTGGTTGACCCACTCCCACCGCCCAGTCCTTTCATCAGTCAGGCCCACCCAGCGCAAGGAGCCCGCGCTACGCTGGATCACAAAATCCTGTTAAAGGCAGACGGAGAGAAAACTCAAATTTTCAGTTTCAATAAAAAAGGGGGACTATAGCTCACATACATGAGCTATAGTTCGGCTTTTATTGATTAGCTCATCAGAAAAGAGCTCCTGTTGAGGTGACAGTGTGTTTAAGCTGCATCACAAAGTTGAGCGTCAGTGCAAACAGATGAGAGGGACAGCCAACTCACCCACTCCTCATCAGTGAGAAGAATGACCAAGTGAGATTCGTGTCCATTACACCAGTCTCTGGCATCGTGCCACGATAATGGCGTGGTACTGAATAAGTAGCAGTTGGTGCCGAAAGAATCCCAATTCAGAGGACAACAGCCGTGTGCTGTCGTGCCTGACAGACGGACAGACAGAGCGTGTCTGGTTTCCATGTTTTATAAGAGT